AAATATGAATGAAGGGACTTCCCCTCCGGCCCAGGGAAAACGCACGAGCATGAGTGTGGAACGGTACTCGGATCCCCTGGAGAAAGAGCAGGCTCAACATGAAACCCCAGGATCCTGGTTTCAAAGCTGAACGCCCATCCAAGTCAGCTAAGATTTGCTCAGTGTTGGATGCCAATGGCCTGCTTGTTCCACCACTTCCCGTCCTCACAAGAAACTGGCCCAAACTGCCGGTGTCACATTCCTGATAGGGAGAGATGGACTTAGTTGCCTTCAGTCCCTGCTGCCACCCACGTTTTCAGGGCCAGTCCCATTCTCAGTACTCCTTTTCTGGGGGAGATTTGTCAAAGTAAGCAGGGAAGGAGCTTGCAACCCCCACTATCCTTTCAGCAGCAATGGGATTCACTTGTTCCTACTGCTTTGGAGCCGCCATGGATCCACTACCTTCTCAGCAGCAAGGGAAAGCCAAGAGGAAGGCCCGCGGAGCTGAAATACTTGCTGTGCAGAAGGCAGGGATTCGCAAACTGCAGCAAGAGGAGGCAAAACGAGCTCTCCGAGGCTGCTGCCAGTTGTCTCCCCCTGCTGCCAGGCAGCCCTGCTGGGCAAAGCTCCCAGTAAAAGTTATTCAACTGCCGAGTTCAGCAATTGCCAGGCACGCCGAGAGAAGGCAGTCCTTAAAGAAAGGGGCTGAGCTCCCAAGCACCGACCCCTCAGGGCTGGGGTGAAAGGCATGTTGAGTCTACCCAAGACAGCACAATGCTATATGCCTGCCCCACCACCCCCCCCCCCCCCCCCAACTGCCGGAGAAGCTTCCGGGCTCCTTCCCTCCTGTTGCCGAAGGAACAAACTCCTGAAAACACTGACGATCCGTTAACTCGGGGCTGGGCTGGATCCGGCCCGCCAGGCACCTTCGCCGGCCTGCGGCGCCCCGCACCAAATTGTGCCCCGCCCAGCCCTTCTGCCCACGGAAATGGCAGCGAGGCACCCAACCCCAGCCTCTCCTGTTATGTCTCGCTCCCACCCTCGTGGGTGGAAGGGCCGGCCCTGCTAGCGCTGGCAACACTGCTGCTGCAGGCTTCGCAGCGTCCTGCTCCCTCCGGGAAGCAGGTGGGGCTGCAGCGGGGCGGGAGCTTGGGTGGGCAGGGTGTGAGCGTGGGGTTATGGGGACGCCACCCACACTCCCCCCATGGCGCACAGTCCCCGGGCGGGGTGGGGCGCGGCAGCATGCTGTTGCCTGGCTCCTGGATCCAGCCAGCGCTGCGAGGACATGGATCCAGACTGACATGGAGAGGCTCAGCAAATGGGCAGACAAGAACCTGATGGTGTTTAACACTGAAAAATGCAAGGTTCTCCACCTTAGGGGGAAAAACTTGCAGATCCATAGATGCTTCTCAAGCAAATCCCGGGACGTCATTCTCCCCCTGTACTCGGCCTTAGTGAGGCCGCAGCTGGAGTACTGTGTCCAGTTTTGGGCTCCACAATTCAAAAAGGATGTGGAGAAGCTTGAGAGAGTGCAGAGAAGAGCCACGCGCATGATCAGAGGTCAGGAAAACAGACCTTACGATGACAGGCTGAGAGCTATGGGGCTCTGTAGCCGGAAAAGCACAGGCTCAGGGGTGATCTGGTGGCCACCTATAAGTTTATCAGGGGTGACCACCAGTATCTGGGGAAAACTTTGTTCACCAGAGCGCCCCAAGGGATGACGAGGTCGAACGGTTATAAACTACTGCAAGACCGTTTCAGGCTGGACATAAGGAAGAATTTCTTTACTGTCCAAGCCCCCAAGGTCTGGAATAGCCTGCCATCGGAGGTGGTTCAAGCACCTACATTGAACACCTTCAAGAGTAAATTGGATGCTTATCTTGCTGGGATCCTACGATCCCAGCTGACTTCCTGCCCTTTGGGCAGGCGGCTGGACTCGATGACCTTCCGAGGTCCCTTCCAGCCCTAATGTCTATGAAAATCTATGAAACATGAAAAGGAGAAAGATAGCACACAGGGGTCTACATGTGCCATTAACGTGCTGAAAGCTTACTGCGCGTTATGTTTTCCCCGGGAGCACGTCTACATGTGCGCCTGTTGGAAGCAAATTTGCTCCCTATGGGAGCAGTTCAAGGCAGGGATACTCCTGCCTTGCTCTGCTCTCATACGGCAGCCAGGGGGAGCTCTAGGCTCCCCTGGGTGCAAGCCCCTGGCTGGCAGGGGGCTGTCCCGCCTCCATAGCAGCTGCTTCGCACCCCTGTCCTGGGCAGTTGCCTGCTGCTGGGGCAGAGGAGGATGCCCCAGCCCTCACTCAGAGATGAAAGCAAGGACCGAGCAGCAAGGGACAATGTCCCAGCCCCAGCTTCAACTGGCCAACTGCAGCGGGGGCTGGGAAGCAGGCAGCTACCCAGAGGAGGGGACAGTTCTCCTGCCCCTGCTGACTAGCCTGACTGGGAGCAATTTGCTCCTGATCAGCCATCTACCCATGCGCTACTGCCTAGTAGCTACTGAGTGGTAAATCTACTACACAGTAGAAAGCCATGCAGTAGACTAATCTACTGCATAGTAGCTGCTGTGCACGGTTACACAGTGATGCTTTGCTGCACAGTAGGTTAGTCATGGTTGATTCATCAACCATGAATCCTGAACAAACTCTTTTGAAACCTTTTAATGAATTAAAATGTTACCCAAGATATGTTCACAAATAAGATGGGAGACAGTACCTAAAATTTGTGTTGGCTTCTTTTTAAAAGTTCTCTTAACTCCTTTTCCAGCAGTTCCCTCTAAAACAACATGGGGAATTTAGATATGATGCAGCAGGAGACTGGCTTTTGCAGTGTCGACTTTCGCAAGACAACTTTTAATATTATGGATTAGCAATGACCCAACCCTTCTCTCACTGGTCATCTCACCTTTTTTAAACTGCTTTCCTCTCATTTTAAAATGGGTTCTACATCTTGCCCTCTCCGTTATGAAAACACAGGAAGGTTATGTTCTTGGCTGTGCTCCTTTAATCAACTCTCTTCTTCCTCTGGGAGATCTCTAAACTAGTTTGAGCCAGGGTCATCTGCCTGTCAGCTCTGGGCTGCACCAAGCACATGCTACTAAATACTTCCAGAGAAAAGTCTTTCTTCTAAAAGAAACATGTATTAGCCTGGAGGAACAGAATGGCAGTTATTGCCAAGATCAGAAAGCACGGGAATGACCCTTGATCCTGAACAGTCTTTTCCCTCTAAAGCTGCCTTGTTTGCGTCTTATGTCTGCCTCCTTGTGACTTAAACACTTTATCCCATGACAATGGTAGGGAACTTGTAAGAGGAAGTTTGGAGCAACTTTCCCTGGACTGGTTCTCCAGCTTTGGCTGTCTTTCAATTCCTTTCCAAACTATGAAGGAAAGGTGCTTTTGTAATGCATTTTCCATCTCTCTGGACCTTTCTCTTCTCTTCCTATTTCGGTTCTTTTTTGAGTTTCTAGGCATTTCTCCATAAACACACCAGGCAATGTAAACTGCCACATACAGCAAGTTACACAGGATGTAACATTGTGTCTGCAAAACTGAACTGCAGTTCATATTACTGTACATGTGTGAGGAATTATTGACCAGATCCATATGATTACAGCCAATACTGTGGCTTCAAAACGAGAATGATTGTGTGCAAGTAAATAACTTGTGTTACCAACATGAGGCAGTTATGATTTCCTGTTCTATAATGGCAGGGAGTGATGAACCATATGGCTTTGTCATGTGCTGACACTCTTAGCAACCTAGTCTAAAGGGAAAACAAAAATCTACAATACCACCAAAAGGTGACAAGACAGAGTCATCTAATACAATAGCCTAGAAGCTATTTAATCTCAATGCTCAGCTTGCAGGGGTAACCAACAACTTGTTAGCCCAAGTATTACCCTTTCATAGGTATCACCAGAAACAGGTGGACTAAAAATTCCTTCCCTATCTTAATAGCTCAGCTTTCACTCATCTCTTGCACTAGATCCCTGATCGAAGCCTTCCAGCTTACACACAATCCACATTTCTAACATGGAAACAGAAAACACAGTATCTTTAAGTCTTCAAGCTTCTCTCTCAGTCATAAAAAATGAGAAGTACAGAACCAAGCTCTCTTTCCTTTCCAGGTCACCTTTGGATCTGTGATGCCTTTCAATGCTATTCTAGCCATTAATCAGAGTAACATAAAGAAAAAGAATGGCAAAGAAAAAAAAGCGCAAATACTTTGAATGCTTTGGGTATTTTTACTTTTTTTATCCCAACAATGTGGCTCTGTCTTCTAGGAACAAGAGCACAGAGCCCAAATACAGTATGTCATTCTCCTATTTTCCTCCTATGGATCTCCATTTATTTTCAACCGCTCCCCTTCCACTCCCTCCAGTATCTCCTGACACAAGTTGTAGTTGGATTTTAAGCTGCAGGCAGCCAACAGGCTGACCTTTCATAACCTCTGAACAAACGGTGATGTGTCAGGATTGCTGACTCAAAAAAAGGGCATTGCAAGGCATAGAAAAACAAAACCATTTCAAACAAAGCCTACATTGAACAGAATTGCCACAAAACAGAAAAGGAAATTAAGTCTATACTTCTATACTTGTTTTTTTTGTGCGGGGGGGGGGGAGGAAGGGGGGAGGGGGCGGGGAAATCCTTGTTCAATCTCACATGAACCAATACATATGAAATATTACTAATGCTATGGAGAGTGAAAAAAGTTTAGCTACTTCAGAAACTACTTAATCTACATCTAGTTTTTGGAAGACAGACTTGACATAAAAGCAGCAGCATCTGCTATTTTTTTGGTTCAAACAGCCAGTTTCAAGTTTGCCCATAAAGAGTGCTTGTAAAACAGATACACACAAGGTGGAAGTCAGGGGCATATTTTGGTTTTGAAGAGCAAGGACTTATTGCACAAGCCACATACATGGTTCATGCTGTAAACAGTCCTAAAGGCTGTCAGTCCTATTACTTCCTCTGGGCTTTCTGGAGGTTACAGCAGTGTTTTGTATCTTTTCAGGTTCTGAAGCGCTCTGTCCTGTTTAAAGGCACCAACTCCACATCACGGCATTGTGGACTGCTGTAGGGAAGTCCTTCCTGGGGGCTTTGAAGTCAAAGTTGCTTGCTATAACTGCAGCAGCTCTAATGGGCTGCTCAAAGGACAAGGGGCTTTTGTAGTAGAAATCATTTCCAATCACTCAACCAAACAAAAACACAGCTTTCCTGCGCGTACAAGGAACCTCCGACATCACGACCAAGCCACCTACCTACATACAAAGAACTGAACAAGTGCTCTTAAACACCAGCTGGTTGTCTAGTTTTTAAATACTCTCTTTCAAGTTAGGCAGATTCAAGAGATTTAGACTTGGAACATTACAATATCACAGGTCCAAAGAGGGGGCCAAAAAAAGTGACACAGTTACAGAAGGCAAAGAACATAAGAGCAAATTTAAATTTGGTTTCTCTGGTCCTAGCTATAAAAAAAAAAAAAAAATAGCAACTAGCAAACAGAATTTTAATAAGACAATTGTCAATGCTGGGAACAGAGCCTGACAAAAATGCTGAGCTTTTTTAAGCATTCATTGCCCATCACGAGTCTGTCTAGCAAAATCAGCCACACTCAACAACTAGATACGGGGAGGGTGGAAGGAACAAAACAAAACGCAACATACTGTTTCAGGAGGAGGCAAGAAGGAAGTTTCCATGCTGGTTCGGAAGTAAAAGAAGGAATGCTCAGTCTAAACCCAGCGTCAATCTCTAGCTCGAACATGCTGTACTTCAGAATAACGGTAGTGGAGCCTGGCTCCAGCCGTGTTAGGCTGAATTCACAGTAATCACTGTAATATGAAGCAGGAGGACCCTGGGTATGTTGGCAAGAGCCCTGGGTGGATGTTCTAGAAAGCAAAAGCAACAGAAAACAAGTGATCTGTGCTTGTCACATGAATGCTTTGTAACAGAGTTACTGAGCCCACTAAAAATATTTCCAGTCACTGAATCAGGCAGGAAGACATTTGCAGTTAGCTTCTTGCTCAATAAAGCAAGGAGAAAAAAGTATTTCCACTTGACCTGAACGTGATCAAGGCAGTTACAAAAAAGAACAGATAAAGGAGACCCCCTTTTTGTTGAAGCCTAAAGGCACTGTCGAACAATTGAGAGTACAGGACTAGAAGCCAGGAATGCTCGTCTTGCAACAAATCACAACCTCTCCAAGTTTCTATTAAGTGGCGTAAGGGGAATTTTTTTACTTTGGAGATTCTCTCATATAGACATGAGAAACAAGTAAATTCAGCAACTGCGAAGCAACGGACAGCACAGAAAGCTTGTGGATTTATGTGGCCACAGACAAGGCAAATAAAACAACTATGAACCTCTTTTGTCAGCAGAGAAGTTATTTTAAAACAAGGATCGAAAATAAATTTCGGAGTGGCCAGGGAAATGAATGGAAGCATGAGACTGGCTAAAAACAGATTCTCTGATCACCTTGGTTTTAGTAATTTATTCTGTGGATGGACAGAGTTGTGCAGCATTTCTGCTAATTATGCGTTTTTCATTAAAGTTAAGAATTACACTGACATGGCTCTGGGACTGTTTCTTCTGTCCAGTCTTCCTCATCTAGAAGCCCTGCATACTTGATTGCGAGGAAGTAAGGAATACAGATCCTGAGCGCTCCTGATAAGATGGGAAGGAGGTGATCTTCCCTGAAGTGAGACCTGGATTGGGCATTTTGCATCTGTTGGGGTGCTATTAGCTGAAAGCTAAGCAATTCTGACCTATGTTAAGAGGCACCCAATTAAGAGGCTCAATTACAAGAGGGTATTCCCACAAAATATCTTCGCTATTAAGTATACATACTGCTAAGAAGGAAGTTAATTTATGGGCT